CCTCGCAACCCTAGTCGAACCATGAGAAGTGCTTTTAACTTTTTTAAATAATTTGGTAAAAAAGTGATTAATAGTAAAAGTTGGTAGTGTTTGAGAAAAAAGTGATTTTGGAAAGTAAAAGTTGGTGGTGTTTGGTAAAATAAGTGCTTTTTGTGTAATAGAAAAAGTAAAAAGCAGATTCTAGCTTTTAGCTTTTAAGTAATTCATTTAAGTAGAAGTTGTCATTTTTTTTTTGAATGGAAACTAGCATATATTAATTCAATTTGTCATTCTCCAAATGGAGTACAAGTAGAAGTTGTCATTTGAAAACATCTTTTTTAGCTTTTTTAAGCCAATAGCTGGGAAGTGTTTTTTTAGTTGTGTTTGCAAACAGAGCCTAAATCGGATGTTGACAAAGCAACAACAGAAAGCATAACTGTAAACCACAAATCATAACTAAAACCCCCCTTAAAATAGACAGAATAAGTAAGAAAAAAGCCAAACTGAAATTGAGATGAGGGATAAATATTCACTCAGAATAGAGAACAAATCAAACACATTCGCCCTGTTCTAGTGTTTAGTTATTGTCTTCGCAATAGGTGCTTTGTCGTCGTCGCCGTCTAGCTCATCGTCGTCGCCGTCCTTAATTGTTGATGACCGGCGTCGCAACAATAGGAGCTTTGTCGTCGTCGCTTGAAGTATCGGAGAATCTTTGGGGAGTTACTTTGGAGAGAAAGAGAAAGCAAAAACGATTTGAGATACAGAGCTGAAGCGGCACAGAAAGGGATTGCGAGCGGAAGAAGCCCTTTGATGATGATTGGAATATGCATAAATGTGTTCTTGCTTTTCGTGAATTCAATGATCGTCATACTGCTGATAATATTTATATTCTCATTGAGCGTATTTTAATTGAGTATAATTTGCTTGATAAGGTGTTTGCTGTAGGTTTTGATAATGCTAGTAATAATACTGCTGCTATACCTAGATTGCGTGAATTGTGTGGTGCTTCTACATTGATGGGTAGGTTTTTTCATCAACGTTGTGCATGTCATATTCTAAATTTGTGTGTACAAGATGGATTAGCGACATTAGGAAATGCTTTGGAGGTAGTGAAGGGGGGAATTAAATTGATTTGGGCTAACACTCCACTAAAAATGCAATGGCGGCAATATTTGAAGGAAAGACGTGTCAATTATTGTGCTTTTCCTAAAGATTTGTCTATTCGTTGGAATAGTACTTATAACTTAATTCAAGTACTTATTAGATATAAAGAACATTTTCCTGCTTTTTTAAGACAAACTTGTAACTATATTATAAACCCGGCTGACATCGACACTTGTGAAAAAATTGTTAATGTTTTGGTATATTTTAATAACGCAACTCAAACTTTTAGTCATGTTTATAAACCTACCGCAAACGAATTTTTTGTTGAAGCTGTTAATCTCGCCGGCGCTTTTTTAGAATTTTCCGATGCCGCTTACGTTAGTTATTTTTGTGATTTCATGAAACAAAAGTTTTAAAAATATTATTCACATGTTCCGCATATATATGGTATTGCATTTGTTCTTGATCCTCGTTATAAACTTGCCTCGTTGCCAAGTTGTATAGATTACTATTATGCTTGTTTTTTTCCAACTCAAGAGTTCGATGATAATCCCATCGACCCTAAACAAGAATACAACGAGGTTAGTAATTTATTTCATCAATTGTATAATGAATTTCATGCACAGTATGGTAATGCACCCCCTCTCATGCCGCAAACATCTTCTTCATCTAAAGGAAAATCACTTTTAAAATCTGCATTTGGTTCTCTTATGAAAAAAAGTAGAGCAGTTAACGAGCTTTCTTTGTATCTAACATTGAATGTTGATTATGAAGTTGGGGATGACTTTGACGTTCTTAAGTGGTGGAAGGAAAATGAAAGAACGTTCCCGGTTTTGTCAAAGATGGCTAAGCAAGTGCTAGCAATGCTGATATCAACAGTTGCTGTGGAACAAGAATTTAGTGCGGCCGGCAACGTCCTAACCGATTATAGAACGAGGTTGAGCCCGAACTCTCTTGAGACGCTAGTTTGCTTCCACGATTGGTTGAAGGCCCAACAAAGAACTCAAGAAATGACCATCGCTCCCACCCGCCACTTTATGGAGGAAACAACCACCGAAGGCGGAGATTCCGATTGATTTTTTATTACAAAATGTATTACATTTTTTAAATGCATCCTAATTCTCAATTGTACTTCTTATTTGAAATAAATATACTTGAATTATTTTATATTATTGTGTACATCAATTCAATAATTCTAAAAAAAAATGTATTCAATAATCAATTCAATAAAATTAATTTGTAAACTTGTACTTCATATTTCAAATAAATATGCGTTTATTTTTTCATATGTAGCACTTCTCAAATTAATTAATTGGTTACAAACTTATAACTTACAACTTGAAATTATTTTTGTAAAATCTAAAGGCTGTTTTTAAATTAAAATATGTAATATTCATATGTAAATTAATTAATTGGTTACAAACTTACAAGTTACAACTTTAATATGTAATTTGTTTAAATACTTATACACCTATTTTGTAACATTTGTAAATTATAAATCAAATCACTTTTCTAAGTAAAAATAGTTTTACTTAATTCATTAAATTAATTAACTTATTTTACAATATGTATAAGTTTCCAAAAAAATTAAAAACATTTTGAAATACAAAATTGCTCCCAAACGGCTATATAGCCGTTGGGGATTAGGGTGGGGGGCAGGGGGGGTCCCGGGGGTGGTGGTGTGGGGGTGGGGTTAAAAAAAATTATAAATACATCTGTTTTCTACCATTTTTCTACACATCTTATCAAACTCTTCTCCAACTCTTCTCCATCTTCATCTTCTGTTATTATCCTACATTTCTACTTATACATCTACCATTTTAAAGATGGAAAGTAATTCTTATGTTATGCAAAACAATTTTGATAAGTGGAAGGACCCGAAGACCGGACTGTGGTGGGCAACTTGCAAGTGGTGCAAGAAAGAGTGTTGCTTGGGGCGTTCACACGGAGTCGGGATGCCAATAAAACATATGAAGTCATGTGACAAAGGCAAAACAACAACCAACGGTGGCGGAAATCCCAATTGATATTTATTAGAAAATGTATTTCATATTGTTATTGTTTTCTCAATTCTCAAATGTACTTCCTATTTCAAATAAATGCACTTGAATTTTGTTTTTAATAAGAATTATTATAATAATATAATATATAATTTAAAAAAAAATTATAAGGCCCGGCCCGTGAACCGGGCGGGTGACCCGGCCCGAACCGGACCCGGGTTTACCCGGGCCGGTTCCGGGCCTCCCATACCTTGAAACGAGGCCCGGCCGGTTTAAGGCCCGAACCGGCCCCGGCCCGAACCGAGTCCATCCCTAGCCCCTTTCAACATAGCCCTCTGGAATATGGATTACCTGAATCATATCAGTGGCAAAATAGGCACAACGGATAAAATTAGTCTTAATTAGGAGTTAAAAAGTACTCACTCCTATACACGTACATGTGAAATGTTTTAATCCTATCTACCACCATTTCTCACTTATATATGGCCTCATTTCACAACTTTGAGAACAAAATTCGTACTTTAAGGAGAAATAGAGGCTGATAAGCATGTCAAAAACGTGAAGAAGCATTGGAAGAAGATTGGTTGTACCGTTGTAATTTCATATCAACCAGGGGCGGAGTCAGAGCACTGGGCCGGATTGGACCGGTACAAATAATATTTTTTACAAAAAATTATGCAACATTTTTTATCTTTAAAAATTAAGCTATTTTTAAATGATATCAACATCTACTGTGTATTCTCCTGAGTAGTTTCAGTTTTCAAATGATTGAAAAATAGAGATTTTTTTTTTAAAGACTAGCCTTTTAAGCCAATTGCCAAGGCCATCGGCTCTCTAAAATCGCCGATCACTATCAAAGCCTTAGAGGCGAAGCATACACAAAGTCATAGTCATCCAAACTTTGAGAGAATTTTAATAGAAGTATGATTCAATTAGATTGTTCTTCACTTTTGATTGTGTTATTATGTACTCTAGCAGTTCTTTTGGTGTTCCGACTAGCTTCGTCTGGTTAGGGGTTTCTGTGTGTCTTCTTTAAGAGTGCGACTTTGGTAGATCTCGTCCTCATCCTGAACCACCTCCTTGACATGAAGAGTTTTGTGGAAAAACTTTATTTCAATTTTATTTTTACATTAGTGTACTTGTTTTTATTTTAGTTTGAGTAGGCAATATTTAGATTTGATTATTTTAGGTTTTAAATTATCTGTTTCGTGTCTAGCGAATCAGGTTGCTTTGTATGAGAGGGGCTGATTCTATGTCTATTCACAGGACTCACAATCGGATCTGTCATAACTGTTTGAATGTTATCTTGTCTCTTTTCTTGATTATAATATAAAACCCGATCTTTTTATTCAAAAAAAAAAAAAGCCTTTTAAAGTAACTCATTAAGTTGGACCACAACTTTATTAGGGACCAATAATATTTCAACACTAATTAGGGACCAATAATATTTCAACACTTAAAGCATCACTAATATGTTGCTTGAAAATTATACATCGGACCAATAAGAGTCTATTTGATAACACTCTAACTAGCTAAATGCTTAAATCCATTGCATCTACTGAAATTCTAGATAAAATGAGTGAATCTGCAGAATTATAAAAAAAAAATCACATGTGAGTTGCAAAATTGATTTTTTGGGTCAAAAAGATTATTTTATTCACTTAATTAGGATATCAATTTAATTAAATTTTAATTTGAATATCACAACTTTATAAATATTTTAATATAGTTTCTGAACGTTTAAATTTTAATTATTAAAACTGAATTAATTATCAATAGGGAAGATTTAACTTTAACATTGGTTGACAAAAAATATTGACTTTGAAAAACAATTTGGGACGGAGATAATATTCAAGATATATTTTATTAATAAAATCAAGAAGAAAAAATTTACCAAATAACTAAAATGACTCTATGGTAGTTTCAAAAAATTTAGTTAGAAAAATAACTTTAAAGTCTAACCCAACTTGTTTGGATTATTATACATTTAACCCTAGAGTTTAAATGTATTTATTTAAGATATTTGCAGTGATATGGGATCGGTGAAAAATGCGCTGGATGATGCATATTACATTTAATTTCTTATACTGTATATATAAGGCATCAAAGACAGACGCCACTGGGTTCGTATAAGACTCTCTTTGTATGCAGTCCAAAGAAAGCGACTTTTGAGAGGTGAAATGAGAGGGTGTTTACATCGAAGGCCACCCTATTTGCTCCTCGTTGCCTTTGTTCACCGTCCAAGCTCCGTCCATAATCTCACTCACTAATTGATTCCCATCCCAACTCGAAAATCCCCAAAAGAACCAGAATCCATCGATAGATTCGTTTCCCGATTTAATGTTCTCTAGCAAGCGAAGCGTGGCCATTTGATCAAGGAAATATATGTTTGGAAGGACTTCTGGGTAATAATTGTGATGTTCTTGTATAGGTCTTTTTGTCAAAGCCACAAGAGGCATTCCGTGCCTTATTACCGGACCACCAAAAGATAGAGGAGCCACCTTCACAAATTCTAAACCTTCATCGATTTCATCCAAAGACTCCCAATTCAGCCTCTTATTCAGAACTAGACCATGAAATCCCGAGCTGTGATCTCCTTTCACCATTAGAATTATAGATTCACCAAATGAATGAGAATTCAAGAGTACACTTGTTGCAATTAGCATGGAACCAACCACCACTTCAAGGGGTACTTGATGCAAATCATTCAAAGAGCTTGATATTTGTGTGTACTCCCTTGATTTTGGCATTCTATCATTAAGTAAAACTTCATGGTATAAATTCTTTAGGGAAGAAGCACTATTTTGCACTAGCTGGTCGATTTCACCTCCAGCTCCAGTCCTTATTGGATCTAAAAAGGTAAATAAATCTACATAATAATCAATATTAAACCATTAAAGCCAAGTATATAAAACAGCAACACTAAAAATCTTTAAGTAGCTAATCTCAAAATTGGTTCATAGGGATTTGTGATATTGCACAGAAAAAACATCTATCTATGACAGAAATTGGAATGTTATGAAATTCAGAAACAAGACAGAATAAAATTGCAGGGATTTACAGGGAGAAATACGACGTTATTAATGTTGAAAATGAGATATGCAGGAATTGTACATGACAAAAAAGGAAATTGGAATTTTATGAACGCTGGAAATAAGACATTAGAAGACAATTGTAGATTGCACACGGGAAATATCAATCTGTGACAGTAAAATAATGTTATAAAAATCAGTTTGGAACGTAAAGTACTAGATAAGAAGAAGCAACACTGAAGTTATTTGGAGAGGGGGGCTCTCTTTTTCTCTCTTCATTCATGCTTTCTTAATAATATACTTCCTCCTCTTAATACTAAATATAATGGTGTCAGTGGCATGAAATTTATAGTTAATTATTTGTCCAAAATTACTTAACACTATAAATTGGTAACACACACACACACACCAAACACATGTATAGTGGCAAAGCTCTATGCTGGATGACCTTCCTTTCACAACTTTCTTATGGATGAATTCATGCTTTCATTTTTAACGAAGGGCAATCCTTCTTTTTTTTATAAATAGAGGGGTTAAAGCAATCAAATAAAAACCAAAAAGGAAAAGCAATCCTGTTGCATGCCAAATATCAAATTAACAAAGTGATCACAATGAAAATAAATAACAATTGCAAGCTGGGGTTAATGAATAGATGATTGGAAATTTTGAAACACCAGCCACTAGCTCCACGATGGGCTGATTATAGCTTGTAACATGCAACATTACACTGGTTGCAGAAAACAAGCATGTCCTAACGAAACTCAGTTTAATGTTATGGAAAAGCTCGAGGCGCTTCTCAAAGCAAGTCAAAAAAATATGAGGTTTATGCCCTGAGGACGTCTGACTGTCTCAGGCTTACATCTCATGAATTGCATACTAGGTTAGCATTAATTTAACTGGTGTTGTCATGTTATGTGTTAAGCTATAAGAAATTGACTTCGGCTCCGTTTGGGTAATGGCGTTTTCAACAAGGGGGAATTTGAGTTCGCACCCCACTTTTTGGTCATATTGGACTTTGCACCCCATTTTAAAAAAACTTTGACTTTGCACCCCATTTCACTTAAAAATCCTTTGACTTTGCACCCCATTCAGAATTTTTCTTTACAAAATGTTATGTGATGGGGTGCAAAGTAAAAAATTTTTCAAAAAGAGGTGCAAAGTCCAATATCACCCAAAAAGTGGGGTGCAAAGTCAAATTCGTCCATTCAACAAAAAGCTGAAAATTTTGGCCTACAAACGCTGCATTTTGTAGCGTGTAGGTGTCTACCCGCTGAAAAGCAAACGGCCTCTTCATAATTTTAATATTGGGCTTGATCTAAAACCCCCCACAGAATCTATTAGATACCAAGATCGAAAGAGGGAAATCGGTGTTTATTAAGAACAGAATGAAGAACAGAAATGAAACGATACACGCTTAGGCACTTAGAGCAGCCTATCTCTCCCAAAATCCCAGCCCAAGTCTCAAGTTCTGCCTGCCTCTCTTCTACTCCCCCAACTCCTATTTATTCTTTTGTATTTGGGCTAGCCCAGTGCTATTTAATTCAGGGCCTGAGCCTCTTTTATCGTACAATATTAAAAGACTAACATTATTCTTATTAGTAGTACTATCTAGATTTCTATCAGAATCCAAAACCTAGTACAAATACATTTTACAATACAACAAGAACATCCAATCCTTAATCCCAAGAGTTTGGAGTTCGCTAACATGAATCGACATACATGATATTGGAGTTATAAACAATAAATAGAGAGAGACATAGACAAACAATATAAGATCATTCCTCCACATGTATGCCTCCATCCTTTACCCTCTCTAAAGACATAACCTCATCTAGGTCGCCCTCTCCTTTTTCTCACTCCTCCCTCCCCCCACCTCTGAATCCATCTAGGTGCATCACTCGATCTTCCACACACATGGTCAAAGAACCACACTCGAGACTCTCACATCTTACCTTAAGTAGGCATTGCTCCCACTTTTCGTCTTGGTTGTCTCATTCCTCGATCTTAGAAAGATGTGAAGTAATCATAACAAGCCGGCTATACTTTAAGGCATGATTCCTTTTGAAACTATATGCTTGCTGAATACTTCAGCAGTCTCTCACATAAGGCAAAATCCGAGGTTGAATCAGGTGCATGATCAGGAAAAAGTGGAGCTGGTTGTCCTGGCCATGGAGGAAAAAGCCTTGAACTGGTTCCAGTGGTGGGAGGAACAAAATGAGGAGAAAATTTGGGAGAAATTTAAAGGATATGAGAAAGATAAGAGAGATTGAGAGGAAACGAGTATTGTATTATTGATCATCAACTGAAGCAGCTATTACAAGTTTATATAGACTTGGTTAAGTCATAACAAACTTAACTGACTATACCCGAAGCTCTAACAGTAGCTAAACTATTACAAGATATACTAATAGTCTATTTAGAGTATATCTAACATCCCCCCTCAAACTTATTGTGAGGTATTAATCACACTAAGTTTGTCCCTTAGAGCAACAAAGCTGGAGCTTGAAAGCGGTTTAGTGAGGATATCAGCAACTTGATAATGGGAAGGAATATGATAGACTTGTAGCTGCTTCAACTGAGCCTTCTCCCTGACAAAGAAGAGATCAATCTCCATGGGCTTGATCCGAGAATGTAGAACAGGGTTATGAGCAAGCTGAACAGTACTGAGGTTATCACAGTAGACTTTAGGAATTGAGAAGTGTACTTTAAGTTCTTTGAGAAGAAATCGAATCCATAATAGTTCAACAGTAGTATCAGCAAGACTCTTGTACTCTGCTTCAGCTGAAGATCTTGCAACTCTAAGCTGTTTTCTTGACCACCATGAAATGATATTGGGACCAAAAGACACACAAGAGCTAGATGTAGATTTTATGTCAGTAGGGTCAGATACCCCAGTCTGCATCACAATAGGCTGAGAAGGGAAGAGGTTTGATTACCAGACCATGTGCAATAGTGCCTGACAGATATCTGAGGATATGTTTAACTGTTTGCCAGTGTTCTTGTAAAGGATTAGCCATAAATTGACAGACTTTGTTGACAGCATAACATATCTCAGGTCTAGTTAGAGTGGCATATTGTAATATACCCATAACAGATCTGTAATAGGAAGGATTGGGAAGATAGTTACTGCCCTCTTGAATAAGTTTACATGTGCTGACCATTGGTGTTTTTAGTCCTTTAGAGTCAATCATACCAGTTTGATGAAGCAGATCTCTGATATACTTAGTTTGGGATAGATGTAGACCACCATCAGAAAGTTTGTGTATTTCCATTCCCAGAAAAAAGTCTAGATCTCCCAGATGTTTCAGAGAGAAAAAGGAATCAAGCTTATGAATGAGTTGATTGATGGCAGTAGGTTGATTACCAATGACTAATATATCATCAACATATATCAAGATATATATTTGAACACCCGAAGATATATAGATCAGAAGAGAAGAATCAGACTTGCTCTGCTTGAAACCAACACTATATAATACTGAGGTCAGTTTAAGAAACCAAGCTCTATGAGCTTGTTTAAGTCCATACAAGGACTTATGCAATTTACATACTAGAGAGGTGTCTTCTGCTTGGAATCCTGGGGGCTGTACCATGTAGACTTCCTCATCAAGCTCTCCATTTAAGAAGGCATTATTTACATCAAGTTGCTGAATAGACCACTTGTTTGAAGCAGCAAGTGTAAGAAGGATCCAGATTGTAACCGGCTTAACTATAGGAGAAAAAGTTTCTCCAAAGTCAGTATCAAACCTTTGAAGAAACCCCTTAGCAACCAACCTTGTTTTGTACTTGTTTAGAGAACCATCAGGATTTTCTCCAAAGGCAGGGTCTTCGAGGTACATACTGATCAGAAAAGCCTACAGTTTCTAACAGAACATAGAATAATGGGGGAAGAACAACAAAAGTGGGTTGCCAAGCTTTTGGGATACAACTTTGTGATCAGATACAAACCCAGCAGTGAGAATAAGGCAGCAGATGCCCTCTCCATAAAGGGTAGTATACACAGTTTGTCCGTTGTTACTTGTTAAGAGTGGGAAGGGCTAGGTGAGAAATTGAAGGCAGACTCGAGATATCAGAATATCATACAAACAGTGATGGGAAATCCAGCAAGTATACCAGATTTCAAGTTCAGAAATGGCTTCTTGTATTATCAAGGAAGATTGGTACTACCCAAGCAATCTCCTAGAATACCTCTGATTTTGAAAGAATTTCATGATTCTGCAATTGGAGGGCATGTCGGGACCTTCAGAACTATGAAGAGAGTATCTAGTTTATTCTATTGGGTTGGCATGAGAAAGGACATACAAGAGCATGCAAGGATGTGAAGTATGCCAAAGAAACAAGTACCAGACCCTCAGTCCAGCAGGATTATTGCAACCTTTGCCCATCCTAGACAAAATATGGGAAGATATCAGCATGGATTTTATTGGAGGGGTGCCCAAAGCTCAAGGGAAGGATATAATTTTGGTGATAGTGGACAGGTTAACCAAATATGCCCACTTCATAGCCCTTGTCCACCCTTACACAGCCAAGGAGGTGGTACGATTACATGGTGATATGGTCTTCTTGATTTCTTTTTGGTCAGAATTGTTCAAAATGGCAGGCACCAAACTGAAGTACTCCACAGCCTACCATCCTCAAACTGACGGCCAAATTGAGGTGGTGAACAGGTGCTTAGAGACACTTGAGAAGTATCACTGGACTGAAGCCTAAACAATGGCCTAAATGGCTTTCATGGGCTGAATATTGGTACAATACCAATTATCACATATCTATCAAGAATACCCCCTACAAGGACTTATATGGGCAAGACCCTCCCACTATTGTGAGGGGAAATGTA